AGTTATGCTTAGGAAGGTTGGAATAACGGAAAGATAACGAGGAACAGAAGAAAAACATTTGCCTTATGGTATAAAATCATGGAGCTGTAATATTCACTCAGAAAAGCAAAGGTGCTTCAAAAAACCATGAAAATCACTCATCCTATCAGAAATCTTTCTGGTATGAACCAATGGTGGAAACAAAGAAGCTACAGTCTGGATTGAAAATTACTTCTGAGTCTTCAGACTTCTCAAATTTGACATTAAAACAATATATACCTATGCAAATATATTCAGAAATTGCTACTCCAGAAATGTAGATTATCTAAATGAACTAAATATTGGTCTCTTGTCATTCAGTGCTCTATAGAAGTGACCATTATAACAAGTAGTCTCATTGTCCGAATCTGTGGTATGTGATGAGGTTTCTCTAGGTCAGAGAATCTCCTAGAGAGGACCATTCAGCTTGGAATTTAGTTTCCTGAAATACTGGCTCCAACCCCCAGGCTCTAGGCTTTTATCTTACTCTATCTACCAAGTACTTCCAGCACATTAACTGAAAGGATAGTCTCCCTCAGAGAAAACAATTCAAAGCAAGGCACCTATTTTCAAAACAATTTCTTGTTCAAGAAAAAGATAGGAATTTTAAAACTCAACATTAAGGCTTAAAAATGAACTATATAACCAAACAGTGCTAACTAGGGTTCCCAGATCTTCACCTGAGGAAGCAGGTGATATCCAAGAAGGTACAGGGATAGGAAGTGTGCCCTGTTCAGGAGAGATGAAACCAAATGGCATCCATAGAAGTGGCCATCATCTTTTAGAGATATTTGCCAAAAACTGTACGGCAAAAAGCAACAGGACAAGTTCAGTTTGCACTTCCATCAGAGCCTAGAATCTCCACATGGAAAGTCTCTGTGGAGTGGGATAGGATGTCCACCAGATCAGTGAAAAATCTTGATGTTTAGCAAACCCAAAGGAAAATGGAAATCCAATTAGTTTGTTCAAGGGCGGTGTCAGTCATTATAGAATTAATTGGTTTTCAAAATGGTTCACCTATTATTTGTGTTAATAGAAGAAGTAGTGTTATGGGCAAAATGGCAGGTCATCATTACACTTGGCTTGTTAATAAACCCATACTCAATTGTAAATATTAAGTCAAATAGTGCTGCTCCGATTAACAAGGAGCATGGAACTTACTTCCTTACCACTGACCCTGAGAATACATGTGTGACTCCATTTTTAAAACTGGAAGAATCCCACATTTCCCCATAAATAAAACAGATGAGGTAGAAGATAGGCACTGGGAAGGGTTTGGCAACCTAGGGAAAGAGGTTTTCAGACACATTGCTATTACATGATCTTGAACTCTTTTTGTTCCATTCAAGAAATCCAACAAACTCCAAAGAAATGAGCATAGAATGGAACCCCACAGACTGCATCTCACCAACTCTGGATTTCTGATGATGTTTCTGAGTATCTCACCTTATCTTGTACAACATCTTTGGGTTGCAGAACGTCAACTCTAGGAGCAATGGCGGTAAGTGCTAACATCTGGCACTGGTCTTAACAGACCACAGGTGTGCAATAAAATACCTTTTATTTCAACAAAATGGAAGGCCCAGCACCAATAAGATACAGCAACAGAAGTGACAATTAGGAATGGAACTAGATGGTTAATGGCGAAAACAAAAAATAAAGAGTCCTTTCAGCTTTAGCTCAATCCAAATTTCAATCGAGTAAAAGTGTAGACTGATACGAAACAGGTGATGACACCGTTGAAATAGTGCCACCACTAAGCCAACTGCTCTGCCCGTCTGGGAAACCATATCCCCACTGGGTCTCGTAGCTCTTGGTCCACTGTCTTTGCACTGTGTGACAAGTCACAAATTTGGATTAAATGTTTACCAGATTTGCTCAGAAGGCCTTCCCTGGCTCCCCTGTTTGTCATAGGACCCCGTTTTATACTCCCTCACAAGTCTCTTTGACACTCTCATAGCCCCCTGAACATATCACAATTATAATTAAAGACTTATTTTCCTTATTTGTTTAAAGCCTGCCTTCCCCCAAGTGACAGTCAGGCACAAGAAGGTAAGTGGCTTCTGTAAGGAAAGAAAAATAATTTTACCTCTATCCTTTTAGGTTCTTGGCTGAGACCTTCCTGTAATAAAAGACATTAACAAGAGAAAAACGAATGGAAGTTTAGTAACATGGATACCTCCTGTATACATAGGAGATCCAGGAAAACTGAGTAACTCCCCGAAATGGCCCAAGCTACCACCTTAAATACCATCTCCAGCTAAAGGCAAAGGAAGATGTGATGGTGGTGGTATGAGAAGTGGGGGAGTCAGTTACGGAATGTGACCAAGAAAGGCTCGAGGGAAAAAAAGTTGTTACATAGATTTAGCTCAGTCCCTTCTCTATTGATGAGAATTTGTGCAGATATAGAGTCATTCTTCTCTTCCTGGTACAGAGAGGGAGACGCCCTTACAAATGGAGGTTTTCTTTATAAATATAAATGTCTTTTACAAAAGTGTTAACTTTTACTCAATTTTCATAGCTTTTCAAAGTTTGCTGTTTCTTAAAAATAATCAGCACGAAATAATCTTATGCCAAAGAGACATATTTTGGGAACTAATCCTGTTCCCCTACAGTTTCCCCAGCACCTGATATCATGCATGGCTCATGCTGGGGGGCTCGAGATACATTTGTTGAATGAATAATTTATAATAACTTTCTATATGTTTATGTCCCATAAACTGCTCCATTATCCTAAGCAGCCATGCTACCACCATTTTGCACTTTCACTGGATTCCAAGTTCAAGGGTGTCTGCAAAAGAGAAAAATCTCATATAGCAACAACAAGGAGGCTGGTTTATTGCATTCCTTAAGTGTCTTTCCTTCTGGTCCTATTTAAAGCAACTTTAGCCCAGCAGTGAAAGCACTCTGTTAAGCAACTTTAGAAATCATAATCATTACAATTAAAAACTGCCATTTAAGCCAGACTACCCCTTTGTTCTGTTAAAGTCTGCCCTATGTCTTATGCCCTCTATGAAGCCTATTTCAGCTTTAATCTACCTGCAGCCTTTTCATTTAGAACCTCTTCTGATCTTCAAGTTGTAATTTTCACAAGTGGAGCCCTAAAGTTCTTTAGTATTTTTGTTTACCAGAATTACTCATTTCATTCTGCATGTGTCTGGTAGGTGAATTTTTTCCAGCATCTTACAGAATAGTGCCGTAACACTTTACAGCATTAAGAGATAAAAGTTAAATGCCTCAAAACAACCACAAAATAATTAACTGAGCAGTTCAAATATTTAAATTAGCACTGTAACTGAGCAAACTGGGGCTCTGTCACGTGGTGCCATGACACATGACCCAACGATTAGTGTTGAAGGAAACAGGTTTTATTAACAGGGTTTCAAACTCGGGGTGGGTGGGGGTCGGGGGATGCTGAGAGCGCTCCTGCTCAGAACCCTCCTCTCCCACAAGACCCACCGCTTCCCTTGCTCCCCAAAAGGCTATAAGCCACAATCATGCCCAAAAGTTCCCCATGTCCTTATCTGTTCTTAAGCCAGCTGCACAAATAAACCTCAATTCTCTCTGGAAGGTGGTTTCAGAGTGACCACGCTTTCACAGCAGCTCTCTCCTCCAGGATCTGGGGTGTGCAGTTCTCAGCCTCCATGTAGTGGTTCAGGGAAGCATGTGCCCTGTTACACTGGGTCATGGTGGGGTCCAGGTATGCACAGTCTCAAGAGAGGGGCTTCTCTCTATGTCCTTCAGAGGAGCAGAAGTACCTCCTCTCTCACTATAGACCTTATGGCTTTTCTTCGTGGTGGACCCTCTCTCTTATACCAGACCTTGTAGCCAACCTCCTCCTATACCCTTTCAGCCCATGTGGCTTCTTCTCCTCTCTTTCAGCCCGCCCTCATTTAAATACTGAGCCTGGAACTTCCTGCATGACGTCATATGCGGCCCCTCCTATGATGTGTTAGCCTCCACCATTTTTGCCAGTTTCCCCATATCTTTTACCGTCTTTCAGCCGCCATCTTTAGTCAGGGCAAGAGTTCCTTGTGACACAGAGGCATCCAGGATGGGCATCCAGCTCCCCTCGCTATGTCAGGAGTCACTATACGCTCTTAAAGTCACGTACACCTTTGGCCCTGGGCAGCAGTCCTCTTCTCTTCAGGGAAGGGACACTATTAACTTGCCACTGTTAATCAAAGTATCTTAAAGGCTGTATCATCCACCTCCTTCTTTGCCCAAACAAAGGTTGTGGGAATTTTCTCCTATTTTCAGGGGACTCTAGCTCTGTACCCTGTCACAGTATCAGAAAGTTCAAATGTAAGGAACAACTAAATCAATTCAAGCACATTGAACAGGGAAAATCAAGAAGCATAGTGACTAAGATTGTTGTATAACAGGGCCAGGACTGGTGGAGGTAAGGAAGTTGTAGAGCTGGACTCTGTCTTTATTTTAAAATTTAATATTTTGTTCATTGTAAAATTTTAAAATTAATTTTGATTTTTAAAAAAATATTGCAATAAGCCCTGACTGCTGTGGCCCAATTGGTTGGGTGACATCTTGCAAAGTGAAAGGTCACAGGTTCGATTCTCCATCAGGGCATATGCCTGGGTTGCAGGTTCAGTCCCTAGTTGGGGCACAGAGGAGAGGCAACCAATCAATGTTTCTCTCTCACATCACTGTTTCTCTCCCTCTTTTTCTCCCTTCCTTCCCCTCTCTCTAAAAATAAATAAATATATGACTTAAAAATATACTAAAATATTGCTGATGCATTCTCAAAACATTAAACAGAATTACCACATAACCCAGCAATTCCACTCCTGTGTACATACACAAAAGAATTAAAAAGAGGTACCCAAACAAATATTTGCACATGAATGTTTATAAAAGCAGTATTCATCACAGTGGAAAGGTGGAAACAAGGTAAACGTCCATCAACAGATGAAGAGATAAACAAATTGTGGTAGATACATACAATGGAACTTTATTCAGCCATAAAAAGGAATGAAGCGCTAACACACACTACAACAGGGATGAACATTGAAAATATGATGCTAAATGAAAGAAGCCAGATACAAAAAGCCACAAATTGTATGATTCCACTTATATGAAATATCCAGAATAGACAAATCATAGAAATAGAGAGGGGATTAGCAAGTTAATATGGGCTGGGAGGAGATAGGAATGGGGGGTGACCGCTAGTGGGTGTGGAGATTTTATTTTGGAGTGTTGGAAATGTTTCAGAAGTAGATAAAGGTGGTGGTCGCACAACATTGTGAACATACCTAATGCCACTGAATTGTTTGCTTTAAAATGGTTAATTCTATGTTATGTGTATTTCACCTCAATTAAAAAATATATATGCACTGATCTTGATTCCTGAGTTTTTTATGCCTCCTTAAATTCTGTGCCTGAGCACAGGCTTTACTTGCCACCCCCAGTCTCCGGCCTGTTTAAATTTCCTTTTAACGAGAAATAAACAGGGTGAGAAATTCTAAAAAGCTTGGACTGCACCCAAGTCTGTGGTTGAGTTCCAGGTAACAGGATGACTCATTTTTGACTCAAAATTAGTTATTGCATGTTCCTGGATCCTTGCTCACCACCTGACATCATGATACACCAGACAAAACAAGAATACACTTTCTCCCCAGTGAGGTTGTTGGAAAAAGTTTAATAGGCTACAGAAATCTGTGAGACCCAAAGGCTGACTCTGGAGGAAAAAAGGAAAGTACCCCTTTGGTTCCGGTTCATGAAAATACAGATTACTAGATTCCCTTCGAGGATTTCATCCTATGTTTGGTGGAGAACAGTTTGGTGATTTCTTCAGAGAATTGCTTTATCTTGTCTTCACTTACTTCAGAGCCTTAAAACAAACAAACAAACAAAAAAGGAATGTAAGTTATCAGCAACATCAGAACCTGAATAATGTAAGTTTTTAAAATGCTCCCAGGTAGTCTTTGCATCATTTTGGTTTGCTCCTAAAGGTCTGCATGTCTGAGGCAAACCTAAATAAATAGATACGTTTCCCATGGTGAACAAATGAAATACAAAAAGAGTTCACACTGGAGCCAGGAAGTCTTTACAAATTTTCCCAAAGCTGCTGTTCCTGCTAAAGAGAGCAGCTCATCCGCTTCAAGGCCCCCTGGAACCCCGGGGCCATCCCAGGCTCTCTCGGTCTCTGCGTGGCAGTGTGGTCAGGCTAGCCAGGCTGCTGTCTTCCCTAGTACAGGTTACTAGAGCAGTGGGGAAAACAGGCTGCCCTCAGAACCCAAGCCAGTCTCTGCCATCTCCCTGCAAATAAATAAAATACTATTTTATTTTACATACATCCAAGGAAACCTGCTTCCCATGAGTGACCTAGACCAGGGGCCAGCAAACTGTTTTTATAAACAGAGTTTTACTGGGACACAGCCATGCACATTCAATTAAGTATTGGCTATGGCTGCTTTTCCTCTGCAATGGCAAAGTGCAGTAGCTGCAACAGAGACTGCGTGGCCTGCAAAGACTTCCATATTTACTATCTAGCCCTTTACAGAGGAAGTTTGCTGCTCTCTGACCTTAGCTATTAGAACTCTAACTACAAAATTTACAAAATTTAGCAACACAAAATTTGGCCTCCAGGTATACATTTATAGGTGCACATACATATTTATTCCTGGTCTAAAATGCACTCCATTCCCTCTATGCTAACTGCTAGCTTTCTCAGGTGTATTCCATTTTTCCAAAGGTGCAGTCGACTCTCACGTCTGTCTGGCTACCTCTGCCAGGCAAATAGGACCCTACAGACAAGTCCTGTAGTGCTTGCTCCTTTCCACACCAAGATGACAGCCTGTCTGTAAAACAAACAAGAACTTAAAGATTCCTTCTTACCTTCTCAGGCAGTGCCTGTCATTCTGAGTCACGTATTACTTTCAGCTTATTTCCAGCTCGGCTATCCTTGGCTCTGAGAAGCTGTCATCACTGGCATCGCTGTATCTATCACTAGAGCAAAAGAGGAGCTAATTTAGCAAGGTATTAAAAAAAAGAAAAAAACCCAGATGATTATCCTATTTACAATCCAAACACTTTCCATAATTAACTCCAACTCCTTCTTTTGTTAGAGGAACTTACCACTTGCTTTCTTCTTAAATTGGAAGTAACTTATTCAGAAAATTTATAAAAACATTTCAATTTAGATTCAATTTATAATCTTCTGAAGACCACTAATCATTTCTAAACTTCAACAAAAGCCTTAAAAGCAGATGGCTCCTGACCCTCTTACCTCCTGTCTGCTTTCTACTAGAAGTATTATGTTAATAATTTAAGTTAAAATGACAGCCTGAGCTTATTGACCCATTTATTTTCTGTGAATCTACTCTTATCATACTAGAGCCCAAATCGCAGTCCATGTGAGGTTAAGCATCACTCAGTTCTATTCCTGCTGATATCAGTCTGTTCTCAAATGCAATAACATAGCATAAAATAGTACCTGGACACTCAGTTTTTTTCATTTTTCACCCATCTGATGACAACTGTTTTCTTTAGCAACACAAAAGGACTACGGAACAGTGAGAATAGCTGCATATCCCTTGATTACATTAGTCAGACACTCTCCTTTTCCTTCAGTGGCACATTGGGTTTTGCCTCTGTGTTTGAAGACCACAGCAGCTCCCTACATAGCTCCAGTGTGGAGGAGCTGGTCATCCACAGTCGGCAGACTCCATGGGGGTACTGAACTTGGTGGTCATTAGAACAAAGACATGCGTGTTGACTCAAGACCCAAGAAACACCCAGTAGTGCACATCAAAAACATCAATGTACTTGGTAAACTTGCCTTGAAATCCTATCTGCTTCAGATCCTATTTTCATGATGGTTTATAGGTCAGCAGCATGAAAGTTTCCCAATGTAATCAACATTCTCATAGATCCATGGATTTGAGAAATACTTTGCATGACTATGCTGTTTTCAAATTAGAAACTTTATGGGATGCTTCAACTACTTTAAGTTACATGGACTACTTAAAATAGGACCAACTGTTGACACAGATGTTGTCATGAAACAGCCCTGCAACTGTGTTTTTGCTCTGAGCTGTGTGCTCAGTTTAGGGTTCCTCTTGCTCAATTCCAAATAAGTCAGCAGGTTGATAAACTCCACAGGAGTTCTTCTGATCTGTGGAGATGACAATGCCAGGAATTAAGTGTTTTATGACTGACCCATCTCTACCCTTGGCCAAGTATTTGCTGACTTGTAGTAATAGAAGTCTGAATTCCATAACAAGTGAAAATCTACCTTTTTTTTAAGGGAAGAAAGGGAACAATTGGAGAAACCTTATGCTCACAGGTCAGAAAACAAATATTTACTTTAAACATATTAAGCATGTATTACTAAATACATAAACAAAATCACAGAAGCCAACCTTATCTCCCCCCTGACTTTTACACAAAATTAGAAAAGGTGGGCATGGGGGTGTTAGAGAGTATTGAGCGTAGAGAAAAGAAGATTGAGAATTGGCAGAAAAGACAATGTATATTAGATAAACATATAAATTAACATATCCTTAAAGACAATCAAGTACAAGATTCTCCTTGTTAGATTTTACTTCAGGAAAATCAATTCTGCTCTTACAAAAGGGTTTTCAGTAAAGAAAAGCTAGGAATAACTGAAGAATGCTTTTTTAAAAACTGGTCCCAAAAGTTGATATATCCTTATCCATGCACTCCCCCTAGTACACAAATGCAGAATCCTTCCTGGTTCTCTGCAATAGTACCTGTTACACCATTAGCAAAGAAAGGGGATTTGGAAGTTGTACTCAAGTGCCTATCTGAGAAGAAATGAAGGTCAAGGGTGTTCAAATGATTCACTGGGCACACAGCTCATTTGAAGTGGGGCCAGAATCCCCATCATGCCAACCCAGGCCACAAGCTCAGTTTAAGCTGTCTTGCATGGGCCAGGATTGCCTCTTGAGACATGTCACCTGACACCACCAGTGAGAAGGCCCAAACTGCATTTCCTCAGTCATCAGATTTTATACCTGCTTCCTTTTCCATCTCTGAGCCTAGGGAAGAGTAGCGTGGGCCCACATCTTCCCTCTTACACTCCAGGTTGTACCATCTATTGACCATGTATGTATATACTGGTCACTTGACTCCTAAGAGTCAAGAAATAGTAGAATTAATACCTAAAATCTCATCAAAATGCTATAAGGGTCAAAAGAGAATGTATAAAAGTGCTCTTGAAAACTATACAAAAATATATGCTGTTGCTATTCATTGTTGCTTTGGGGGTGTAGCCAGGCCCCCCAAAGGGGGGATCTTTAATGGGGTCCAGAACTTGGGGTGTCCAAGAAAAATATAGGATATTCACCCTCCTCCCCCACAAGGTGGGCTGCCATTGAGGATGGGAGACATGGAGCAGGGCCATAGAGTTACTTTGTGTACAATAAGGGGCCAGCTTCACAGTGGACAAGAAGCAGGGCCATTGAGACCCATTTTGCATGTCAATAACAGCAGGATAGCTTCATACCTCATATGCAAAGATGGTTATTTTGCATATCAAAAGGATGTAACTGGGAGCTGCTCCCCCCATTACAGCGCCTGCTGAGGGAATTGGAAATGGGGTTACGGGGGAAGATTTGAGCCAGGAGTTAAACCCAGGCAGGGCAGCCATACTAGAGGCCTTTGACCATGCGGTTTTGGGAGCAGAGTGGGGGTTCCCTTGACCATGTGGCTTAGGAAGCAGGAAAGTAAGAGGTAGCAGCCATGCAGAGCAGCGCCCCTGGTTACAGTACATGTGCATGAGAGCTCAGGGATAGTTTGCCCCACGCCATGGGGGAGCAATGAGAAGACCATGCGGGAAGGAAAGGGGAGAAAGGAGTCTTGCTCGTGGGCCGTGAGAAGGTGCCACGCGGGTTTGGGTTAAGAGCTGGAGATCGCGGCGACACAGCGGATGGTGCTGGGAATCCCAAGAGGCCTGCGTTGCTGAGCCCCGGACTCCTGTTCTTTTTCTTCTGAAGGACGGTACCCCTGACTGGCCTGACTGGGCAAAGGGGGAAAGGCAGGACTGTGTGTGGTGGTGGGTGTTTTAAAGGGATTTTGAGATCTAACGGTGACATTTAGCCATTATTCAAAAGCCCTATAACTTCTGAATAAATAGTTCCTTTCCTTTTCACCAAACTCTGCCAGTGAAAGCCATAGTTTCTAAGGATGGTGGGTAAATAAATTAGAACAGAAGGACTCTGGGGAAGCGGTGGGCGTTGTTTTGGTAATAGTATCTAACCCCCCGCCCCCACACACACACACACAACGGGTCCACATTTGGTAACAGTTTCTGGTGACCACGAAGAGGCTGCGAAATGCCCAGGGCAGACCAACCCCCTCAGGTGTGGGAGAGTGAGATGGCGGGATTTCCCAGTCTCTGAGAATTTCTTTGCATCTCTCGCGTGGGCATCAGTCACCTAATCACGCCCGGAAAGGTGAAAAGGAGACGGAAGGAGAAGGGATCAGAGAAGTGAGATGATTTTGCTGCAAATTTGTTTCTAAACACTGTTTTGGAATAATGGAGTTGTGGATAATGGATTGGTGAATATGCTGCTTCTAGGTTGCCCCTGTCTGCTCGCCCACATCCATGGGGGCTATGTATTCATAATGCGTTCTCTCTCAAAAACTCATGGAAATATAAAGACGTCATGAAAGCTGCCAAGTGCATGATTTTTGGAATTGTTTCCTGTACAAACAATCTCTACCCGCATTAGCGAGTAAACTTGGGTGTGTCTGTTTCTAACTTAATGGCTCTCATTTCCTGTCTAATGGCTGTCTGCCCCAAAGTCTGCCAAAAGTGTGGCTTGGTTTGGGTTTACTCATCTCCAAGGCAAATGACTGGGTTCACTAACTTTCTTTCATATGTGTCAGGGCTTGGGGGTAAAACAATAAAATAAACCATGATACTCAAGAACAGAATTATCAAAACAGGCATGCTGCTGAACTTGCTGATTTTATGGCATTCACATGTCAGTGGAAAAAAAAAAAACCCAACAAGTGCTAGAAGTCAACTGCGAATCATCCACATGCAGAATAGCAGGGGCTCCTGCATATTCAATAAAATTGGTGCTAGTCTGAGACACATGTGGCTTAAGGGTTCATTTCTGTTTCACACAGAACAGATTTAAAGAAGCCCTAAGATACACTTATCTGGGTATATTTTCACTCAATTCAAAATATCTCAGCTGTATCTTAAGACCAACCTGTCTCTTAAAATAGTCTCTGTACATATACATGCACACACAAAGACTCTCAGTGGGGAGAGTTATTAGATACTTGGGTCTTGCATGTTAAATTTTGTGAAATGCCACAGAATACATAGACCCATTCATGTGTGTCTTGTGACATTTGAGAAGGGGAAAGTTTTAAACTTGCATTGTCCAGTATGGTAGCCACAAGCCTGGTAGCTATCTAAATTTAAATCAATTAAATAAAATTTAAAATTCCATTTCTCACTTGAACACATTGAGCCACACCTCAGGTGCTCAATAGCCATGTGTGCCTGGTGACTGCCATATTAAATGGTTCAGATTATGGAAAACTTCTATTATCGCAGAACATTCTAGTGGATAGTGCTGATTTAAAAACAAATAAATAATGATTTTTAAAAAACAAATCATAATCACCATGCAGTAGCCCTCCTGTAATGGGGTGCATAGCGGCGGTCCTCTGAAAATAGCAGAGCCTATCCCCCCATAACCCTTGATTGGGTGAAAGGGAAAGTGGATGATACAGCCTTTAAGGTACTTTGCATAACAATGGCAAGTTACTAGCCAACCCTTCCCTGAAGGGAAGAGGACTGTGGCCCAGGGCCAAAGGTGTAGTGACTTAAAGAGTTTATAATGACTCCTGACATAGCCAGGAGAGGTGGATGCCCACCCCTGACTTCCCTGTGTCATGGGGAACTCTTGCCCTGACTAAAGATGGCAGCTGAAAGATGGTAAAAGATACAGGGGGAACTGGCA